GAGCATAGGCCATGAATTCAGTAATACATTTACTTAAAACAAATACCATATTTCATTAATTGGCCAACAGCCTTATCAGTACAAACAATCAACTCCTCCCTTGTTTATTTGCCTCTCGTGATCTGCTCACCATTGCATAATCTCCACTTCAAGCCAGTTTTGGAGTCTGGAATGGTAGCACACCAGGATTTCCCTTCAATTTGATCTACCGGGGTGCAGCTCTCATATAATTTTCCTTTATAGGAGAAAGGAAAAACACAACCTGTCTCTGAATTGGAAAAAAAATGGGGATGGGGGTGGAGAGAAAGACAAGTAAGGAAACAGCTCAAAATGTAAATTATTATAATTAAATCCTGTAATTCTCAGGAATCCAGAAAAGTGTAGTTTGGAAATGTCTTTACTATATTTTCTGAATTCCTAGCATTTTTTTCATTTTGGATCGCTTGCTGCAGGGGTAAACTCCATTGTTGAAAGGATTTTCAGGAAAATACAACATGGGGGCCTATAGATACAATAGACTTTCTCATTGCTACTGGACCATTATCTTTGGTGATGGTCTCTATCACAGCATATGCATTCTTCTACTGGTTTGCCTCCCATCCCCTACATGATTCTTCCACCACTAGTTATTGAGAGATAGAACTTAACAACTTAGCAATAGCTCACAACCCACAATATTAAAATAATAATATTTATTTATTTATTTATTTATTTATTTATTTATAGTCCGCTCTATCTCCCCAAAGGGACTCAGGGTGGCTTATAACAAAATCAACACAATGGCAAACATTCAATGCCAACAGTAATATATAAACAAATTATAAACAAACCCAATAAAATTATAAAAACAACTTAAATACAGAAGACATAACACAATCCACCCAATTATAACATATTAAATCCTTAAAATCTCTTTTAAAATGCTAAAAAAATTGACTAAAATTATTGGAGAGGAGATGGTAAACAGCAGATTAACAGAGGTAGATGTGAACAGTTGAATTAATGCAGTTTGACACCGCTTTAACTGGTTCAATGCTATGGAATCAAGTGATCTGCTTTGTTGGGAAAAGAATGTAAAATTGCATGAGTGTTCCCTCCACCTCCCTTGGGAGGAAGGAGCACTGCAAAAAACAAATGAAGAAAAGCTTCTTCATAATCCTCCTCCCATCAGTTCCCATCACCTCCTGTCATCTGTCTTGACTAAAATTATTGGAGATTATTTTTGCAATAGGTCCCTTCTGCTTCTGTGCCATTAATGTAACCTTAGGAGAGAGGATTCTCCTCCTCTACACCTCTTTCCATCTCTTCCCTCTTCCTTGCTATTCCCAAACTAGCTGTTTTTATTTTATACACATCTTTGCATTTTCTTTTAATGCTGAAATTGCACAATTGCCACTTGCTATGGGGACACCAATGCAGGTGTGACTTGGAACCCTTGCAGATGTGTTTGTGTTCATATAAAGAATTTCTACTCATGTGGTTCAGACTCACATAAGGAATTTCTCCCCTATGAAGTTTTCAAATATCTAAATACAATATCAGTCACCACTAGCTGGCAGCATTGATTAAAAACTGGAAGAGGCTAGAGTGGATTCAGGTTGATCATATTTTATCCAGTGTACTCCAAAACCCACAACTGTCTGCATGGATGGTAAGATAGTGAAACCTTTGCTTTCTGACAGTTCAATGTGCAAAAACCTTATTTCTTGCACAAAATCATTTAAAATATTGTATACAATTACCTTTGTGCTCTATTGAACATCAATGAATTTGCTATTTAGACTTGTTTCCCATCTCAAAATATCTCATTATGTACTTATATAAAAGTACAGGTATTTAAAATTCAAACAAATCCAAAACATTTATGGTACAAAATGTTTCAGGTAAGGAAGACTCAACCTATACTAATATAGGTGTTTCTTTGCTTAAGATTCTAGATTAAGACCCAAAGAAAAGTACCACAGATGCTCTCCCCTGTTAGTATCTTACTTGTGATGGTACAAGGAATCAATTTCTTGTCTGTGTCAAAGTTACTAGTCGTGGCACACCAGAGCTTCCCATTGTTCCGATCATCATTTGTGCAGCTGCTGTAGTTTTTGCCATTATAGATGAATGGAAAGACGCATGTGGGAGCCTTCTTAGTTATATCTGGTCCTAGAAGATGAGCAGGAAGGACAGTTACTGATGGGAAACAACAGCTTCCTGGTCTACATAGCCTAACTGTTTCTCTTCTGGAATTCATCAACCCAGTCCATTGAAGAAGCAGATTATTTATATTTGCCTGCTCCATCAAGTAGTGACCCCTATGTATGAATGATAATGGCGTGTCCTCATCACCTGCATTCCAATACTAAGGTGTTAATTTACACGTTGAACTGCAAACTTGAGAAGGTGCCAATAGTTCAGTGGTGAAACACATACTTTGCACGTGCAGTAGAAGGTTCCGGGTTCAGTTTCCAGTTAGAACAGTTTTTTTTTACCTTTTTTTGACCAGGGACCACTCTCCAACATTAATACCAAAAAAATTATGGAACAGTTTTTGATCAACTTTAAATTTGGTTTGGTTATTTGGGGTGCTGATTCAGAAAATTGCATTGGATAAACCACATCAGCTCTAGTTTCTGATGCAGAACCGATACCATTCAGTAGTCACCATCTGCTCACCCACAGAAAACCATATTTAATAAGCCTTGGCGCTATAAGAGGGTTTCACGAGACCAGTCGCTCTTGTTGCAATGGTGTAGTAAAGGTGAGGCTGCAGACCATATTTTAGTTCTTATGGACCACTGGTGATCTTCTAACTAGAAGAAGGTGTTAACGAATGAGAAAGACTTTTACCACAGACCGCAGTGAGTCATTAACCAGTGCAAGCAGTATGGGAAGGAGAGAGTTCAGGAACTAAACACAATGAATATGATTTGGTTAGTTAATTGACTGACAGGTTTGTATTAAGACTTTCTCCCACATTGGCAATCCAAGGCAGCTGACAACATATTTGTTTAACTAACAAGCATTGATAAAAGGACAAGAAGTCATTAATATCACATTACAGTCAAATTAATTATACTTTCTCACATGGATAAGGACTGTCCATATGAACAAGACTGCTGGCATGAAATCAAGCAATGAACATTCATGTATGAAATACACAAAGATAAGAGAAGTTGTTTATTTTTTTATTTCTGACAACTTATATTTCAACCATAGCACTAACAAAATTATTCACAAAACTTCTATCCATAGCCACAGGTTATACTATTAACTACATCTTCAGTCACAATACTTGGTTTGCACTGCAATATCTAGTGGAATTAAAAAAAACATGAACAGATCCCCATCCAATTATATCCACAAAACTAGAGAAGGCTCAACACAGCAGGTAACAGAGATGGATGATAAGAATGAAAGAGGTCCTGAATCATTCTGCAAGACCTTCTAAGGATAAGGAGAATTTTCACAATGTTTGTACAATACTGTGCCTCTCCCTATATACGCAGACACACATTATCTCTCCAGTTGCGAAATCTTATCTTCATTCCTTTCCCTTACTTGAGAAAGAAAAGAAGCTACAATTGTAAACATTTGAAGGAAAAAAAATTACAATACTAAGACATCACTTTTACCCAGAAATCATTTTAAACCAATGGACAAATATAAGTTTATCATCCAAGGAGAAAATATGTATCCATAGCAATTTGACATCACATTAACTGACATGGCACAATGCTATAGAATTCTGGGATTTGTAGTTTTGTGATATATTGATCCTTGTGCAATAACAAACTACAAAACCCAGGATTCCAAAGGATGGAGCTATGACAGTTAAAGTTATCTCAAACTACTATAACTGTGAAATATGGGTTGTCAACAAAACTCCAGACCATATCAATAGGAAATGAATGGGAATGAAGGAATGCATAACTTGGAAACATCACATTAACCAAAGCAATCGTATTAGACACTGAGTACAGTATACACAATTAAAAAGAAACAAAAGGGTAGAATGGCCATATATAAATATTATTATGGACCAGAATGAATTGAAAATTGTGAAAGGAGCTGTTTATACTGCTAGTCTCCAGAATTACATTATTTGTTAGAGATAGACTCCTTCCTCATAAAGCAACACCAATATTTATCCTTCTTACTAGATACTTGTGACATTACAGTATACCCATTTCCCATCCACATCATAGTTGCTGGTGGTGGCACACCAGAATTTCCCATCACTCAAGCCAACAGTGGTACATTCATTGTAGGAAGTGTCTCTGAAGATGAATGGAAAGGTGCAAGAAGTACTCTCCACTTCTTTATCTTGCTCTGGATATTAAAATAAAAAGAAAGTAGATACTAGGAGCTGCATACTCTCTGGACTTAGGTTAGTACTGGCAGATGCATTTTTTGTTCTACACAGAGGAAACATAGAATCATAGAGTTGGAAGAGACCTCATGGGCCATTCAGTCCAACCCCCTGCCAAGAAGCAGGAATATTGCATTCAAAGCACCGCTGGCAGATGGCCATCTAGCCTCTGTTTAAAAACCTCCAAAGAAGGAGCCTCCACCACACTCCAGGGCAGTGTGACAAGATGAGATCCAAACATCAAGTGCAAGTACCAGGAAAGGATCAGTTTTGCTGCTTATGAACTACCTAGATATTTCTATAATGTCTACCATGCATAAATACAGTCAATTAACAGAGATATATAATTTAGGTCATTGAGTCACATCTAACCCAAAGCAGTTGGGACCAGTAGTTCTTACTATGTTTTGCCATCTTTGATCAATGGCGAATCACCAATTCTCACTCAGAAATCTTTCAACAAGAATGTTTCTTGAGTTTCCTTCTAGGAACACCATTCCTAGAAGGAAACAAGAGTTCTTTTTCCCACCCTGGGCATTCCATAGATATATAAAACTAATTTGCCTAGTTTCCAACAGACCTCACAACCTCTGAGGATGCCTTCCATAGATGTGGGTGAAACATCAGGAGAGAATGCCTCTGGAACATGGCCATACAGCACAGAAAACTCACAGCACCCCAACCATTCCTTTTTCCTCCTGCTGGATTTTGACTCTCTCACCTGGCTCTTCCTGGCAGTACCTCCATTTCTTGTCAGCATCATAGTTGCTACTGGTAGCACACCATAACTTCCCATTCCTCTGACCTTCTGTGGTGCACTTTGTGTAAATGCTGCCTTTATAGATGAATGGGAAAAAACAAGGTGGGCTCTCCACATTCTCAGCAGGTCCTGAATTTCAAACCATCAGATAGAAAAAGAGTAGTTTTTGAGGTAGCAAAATTCATTCAGTTTGGTTATCCTGTGTGATCATGGTCAGCGGCATATATTTTAGAATCCATTGGAATCTAAAAACCTCTCCAATACTGATGTAGACTACTGGTCTCCTGAAAGCAGTATCTTATAGTCATGCTGCATCCATGCTGTAGAATAGACATCAACAACTACTGCATTTATTATATAGTGCCACTAGTGTATAAGTAAAAGCTAGCAAAAAACACCCAGCCCCGCCAAAAGTGTGCAATCCTTAAGACACACATATATATGCAGAAGTGAAAAAAAAGAATATGAAAATTAAGTTATGCAGTATATATATATATATATTTAAAATATCCAAATTATCAACAAAAAAAATATCAATGCAATGTAATATAAAACAAACTGACATATATATGTAATTGCCTTCCAAAAGACCTCTCTCCTGGGAAAGGAACAATAGGGTGTATTTTTATGGGTGTATTGTGTTTTTTAAAAAAATAATTTTTATTGAATTTTTGGGGGGAAAATGAGGGGAGAAAGGGGAAAAAGGAATGAAGAAAAAAGGGAGTAGAAGGAGGTAGGTAAAAGGGGGTAGGAAAATTAGATTGGGTAAAAAGGAAAAAGGGGGGAGAGACTAACTATGGTAAAAGGGGTACAGAGGTTTCCTTACTAATGGGAGTGGGAGTAAAAGGGCTAAAAGGGAATGAAAAGCAAAAAATTGAAGTAAAAAATGAAAATAAAAAATAAAAAAGAGAGAGAAAGAAAAAAGTGGGAAAATTGTTATATATATATGGTGGGAAATTTGAAAAAGGAAAAAGGAAAAAAGATGGGCGTATTGTTAATATGTTCAGGCATTGAATGTTTGCCTTTTATGTTTGGAATTTGCCCTGAGTCCCTCTGGGAGATAAGGCAGAATATAAATTATTATTATTATTATTATTATTATTATTTAAACACAACAAGATGAGTCCACAGCAGACAAGATCACTGTTGTATTGGATCACACTTCAGACACTTCCCAAGTGTCTAGGACTGTGTGATGTATCAGCGAATAATGCGTGCAGATCCCAATAAGGTGGCCTTCTGCAGCTGGCAGATGGTAATTTTGTCAGCGCCGATTGTGTTTAAGTGCAGGCCAAGGTCTTTAGGCACTGCACCCAGTGTGCCGATCACCACTGGGACCACCTTTACTGGCTTGTGCAAGAGTCTTTGCAGTTCGATCTTTAAATCCTCATATCGTGTCAGCTTTTCCAGTTGTTTCTCTTCAATCCTGCTATCACCTGGGATTGCAACATCGACAATTCATACTTTGTTTTTCAACACAATTGTGAGGTCAGGAGTATTGTGCTCCAAAACTCTGTCTGAATTCGGAAGTCCCAGAGTATTATTATTATTATTATTATTATTATTATTATTATTACTGAGGCTGCAAGCCATATAGAGCCTCATCTATGATATTTTGAAGCCTTGCAGAATCTTCCCCTCCAAATTTTGCGAGGTAGTTTTAAAAATACATTAAAATTTGTCCCATACTTTTTCAGTTTATTTTAGTTTACTACCTGGTTGAAAAAAAGGTTTCCATGGACTTAAATTAGGAGAAGTTTTGGATTGATTAGTTCTTTTAAAAATGGGGAAATTGCAACCATGATTCCTAGCAGGCTTGAGGAATGCAAAGGCAATCGAAAACAGGGAAAACAGCAGGGGGTTGCTCTCCATAAGAAGTCACTGCAGCCTTCCTCCAACCTACAGTGGTTGCCCACAACTACTTTATTTTTAACAGATACTTATTATAATAGATATATTTGTACATAACAACAACACATGGATATTAGGTTCAAGTGTCTGGGATTTGTCTCTTTTTCTTCTATCTCTCCTGATGAAGACTCAAAGCATAGGGTGTTGTTTCCTACTGAAGATCTGAATGTTTGTATTTTTACTATTAAAACTAAATGCCTTTCTCCTCCTACCTGTGATATTACAATACATCCATTTCTTGTCTACATCATAGTTGCTGCTGGTGGCACACCAGAATTTCCCGTCAGGCATGCCATCTGTTGTACACCCATCATAAGAGGTGCCCTTGAAGATGAAAGGGAACACGCAAGATGGAGCATCTGCATTTAGATCTGGACCTGATTGAAAAAAAAGGAGCATGTGAGAACAAGGAAGAAGGTGGAGATATTTTTATTTAAGCAAGATTTAAATGTATATGCAAAAGTGGCTTTTATTGGGCATGTTTTATGTATCCTTTCACTTTTGTATGTTTTTAATTGATTTCAAAATGTATTATATTATTTTAATTGGTTTTATATTGCATTGTAAATGCTGTTAACATTGATTTTGGAAGCCACCTTGACTCCCATTCTGGGGAAAATGTGGCATATAAATTAAATTAAATAAAACAACCAATCTTCCTTTTTTATCAGTATCTGTGTTGGAAAGAGGTATGTTCTGGTTATCAGTTCTTTGTCTTCTAAATAATACTTGGTTTCAAGAGACACTTTATTATCCTCATCACTATATTGTCTTCCTGATGAACCATATTCTTGGTCTTGGTAGTGGTACTGCTGATGCTATCAACAGAAGAGCAAACCACAGACCACCTATTATAATGAAGCCTGAGCCCTGCCACATGCACAATGGAGAACCTTCGCACAGCGACACCAGAGGCACTCCAAGTGGCCAGCTACTGGTCAAAGGACATTTAATAGCACAACAAGTTTTCAAACTTTGTGTTTTTTTAAATACAATACAAATGTACCCTTGTTTCACTCCTGATACCATAAATAAATTCCAGAGATCATACAGAGATTTTTCCTAACTCAGGGTCATATGTAAACTTCCATATGACCCTTTTGTAATGAACATATTGTTGCTCCTACAGCAACTGACAAAAGTGATGATTCTCTTTACAACTTTGTTAAACAAGTCTCATAGCTGTTGATCATTTTTAAATGGTGTGTTTCAATATGTCAAGAAATCCCTCTTGATGAAGAATGTTTACGAATATTCTTTATATCCTTATCCAATGCCTATCACGGACACTTTTGTTCTCTTCATCCTACCTGTGACATTGCAGTACACCCATTTTTTATCCACATCGTAGCTGCTGGTGGTGGCACACCACAGTTTCCCATCTCTCATGCCCTCACTTGTGCATGTGCTGTACAACATGTTCTTGAAGATGAAGGGGAAGATGCAAGATGGAGTCTCCGCAGTTGTATCTGGCCCTGTGTATTAAAATAAAAAAGATGTGTACAAGGAAAATTTTGTTGTTGGAGCTTGGAAAACATCTCTTTTTTACTACAACTTCCAGCATCCTTTAATAAGGGATGGCTAGCGAATCTGGAAACAAGTCCACAAAACTAAAGTTCTGACTTTTTGTTATGCAAGGGTCATGGGCCAAATAAAATGAATTCACCTTGGAACTACTGAGAGAAGTTCATTCCATATAGGTTTGGTTTTGCAGGGAAAACACTGCTTCCAGCCATTAATCCAGAAGAAAGAGCTCCACAATTACTCTGGAGTAACCTCCATGTTTTTGAGGTCTAGATAGCTGCAAATATCTAATGTCTACACATTGCAACAAACCAGTGCTGTGCCTCCAGACAGAGGCAGCTTCATGCAGCTTCCTAGCAGATCCTTGCTATCAATGTCACTTCTGCTGATCACATGGGTGGGCAACCTTTTGCCACATCATCAGAAGCTGGATTATACCAGGGAGCTGCTTTTGGTCAATGAGAGTCAGCAGCAGCCTCAATGCACAGTCATCATGGCCACCTGTATGGACTTTGAAGCACTCCTGTGCTGTATCTGGGGCAACTCTGAACTACAGTACTCTGAATTATTTAAGATGGTATAGATGCATGCACATGCATGGGATGAGAAATTTAAAAAATCAAAACCTTGCCCTAAACAAGGTCAAGATCCCAAACACTATTTTTACCTCATCACCATAGTGTTATTGCAACAAAGCCTATCTGGACAAATCCCAGCTGGAGTCAAAACTGAGGGCCCCAGAGCAAAATATTATATTTTACCCGACTCTTGGAGAAACAATTAAGCATTCCTACTGCCCTCTATTTTTCTCCCATTTCTTTTTATTGAGGTCACTAAATGTGAATCATTGCTGATGTTTAAGTACAACAGTTATTAGCAAAACAAAGGCATTAGGAGAATGGCATTAGGGATGGATCCAAAAGTATGGATCTATTTCCTAGGAAGCATCTACACTGTAGAACTAATGCAGTTTGACTCAACTTTAACTCCCATGAGCCAATGCTATAGAATCAAGGTATTGCACCAGGACACTTCTCTGCCAAAGTGTCCTGGTGCATCATCAGACTACAACTTCCTTAATTCTAGAATAGGTAAAGGCAAAGGTAGTCCCCTGACATTAAGTCCAGTCATGTCTGACTCTGGGGTGTGGTGCTCATCTCCATTTCTAAGCCGAAGAGCCAGCGTTGTCCGTAGACACCTCCAAGGTCATGTGGCCAGCATGACTGCATGGAGCACTGTTACCTTCCCGCCGGAGCGGTACCTATTGATCTACTCACATTTGCATGTTTTTGAACTGCTAGGTTGGCAGAAGCTAGGGCTGACAGTGGAAGCTCACGCTGCTCCCCGGAATCGAACCTGCGACCTTTCGATCAACAAGCTCAGCAGCTCAGTGCTTTAACCCACTGCGCCACCGGGGGCTCCTAGAATAGGGGTTGTCAAATTTTTTCAGTCAAGAAGCCCTCTTTGAAGTACAGTTTCTGGTGGAGCCCCAATAAATGTTTATATATTATATTATATCATAACATGCAGGGAAAGCACAATCAAAGAACCCACAACAGATGACCACTCAGCTTTTGTGATGATGATGATGATGATGATGATGATGATAGGAGCAACCCCAAGGACCATCCAGTCCAACCCCATTCTGCCATGCAGGAAAAGCCCAAAGCACCCCCAACAGATGGCCACTCAACCTTTGTAATAATAATAGTAATAGAGGAAATCCCAGGGGCCACCTAGTTCATCTCCTTTCTGCCATGCAGGAAAAGCACAATTAAAGCATCTTCTGATCGGTGGGAGAGAAATAGGGTTTTGGGAGCAAGGAAGGTGAGGGGAAAAGGCTTTTATGAGTGAGGAAAAAGGCTTTTGAGGGCAAGGGAAATGGTGGAGGAAGAGCAGGAAAGAGGAGGGAAAGCTTGGAGGGGACCACGGAGTCCCTCAGTATGCTTCCCTTCTGCCATGCAGGAAAAGCACAATCAAAGCACCCTCTGATCAATGGGAGGGAAATAGGGTTTTGGGAGCAAGGAAGGTGAGGGGGAAAGGCTTTTATGGGTGAGGAAAAAGGCTTTTGGGAGCAAGGGAGATGGTGGAGGAAGAGCAGGAAAGAGGGGGGAAAGCTTGGACCGCAGAGCCCCTCAGTATGCTTCACGGAGCCCTGAGGGCTCCATGGAACACACTTTGAGAGCCTCGTGTTCTATAGCATTGAGGCATTGCAGTTAAAGTGTTGTCAAACTATCTTAATTTTACAGTGTACATGCACCCCTAGGCAACATATGGAAGTCCTGCAACAGAAAAGAGAACACAAAAAGGTTTCTTTAATTTCATTCAAGCAATTTTTTTCAAGGTTAAGCCTTATTGGTGATTATCTCTGTTTCCTTTTCCTACCTCCTTCTTTACCTGACTCTTGACAGAATTTCCCTTTGTTGTCTACATCATAGCTATCTGTGGTGGCACACCACAATCTCCTATCTCTGCGCCCATCAGGAGTGCAGTCGTTGTAAACATTTCCCTTGTAGACGAATGGGAAGAAACAAGGTGGCTTTTCCATAACTTCACCAGGTCCTGTTGTTTGTTGAAAAAAATACTGATATTATTATAAATATTATAATCTTAGCTATTAATTTTTCTTTGCACTATTTCAGGGTGAACTGAGAGATCATTTTCTTTCAAAGGAAGAACAAGAGGAATCCCCAATTAAATAAGTGTTTTTGTCTTGTGCCTTCAAGTTGTTTCTGACTTAAGTGAATGTCACTTAAGTGAGTGTTCTTAGACAAGGGATGCTCAGAGGAGGTTTTGCAACTTTCTTCATTTGCATTATTCAACTAGGGATTATTTGCATTTTGCTCTTTCCTAGAAGATCCTCAACAAATCCTCAACAAATAATAAGATTAAATGTTGTTATTTAGTCTATTATTCTAAAGAAAAGAGAGAATGAAATGTAAAACACCGAGAGCCACAAAACCACTCTTGGCTGCTGTATATGACTTATCAACACAGTTTGCCCAATTCCTGATATGAAACGAAAGTACTGTGGTATCATCACAACATACATTGACTCAACCCTGCCTAGCACAATTTGTTTGCGATGGTCACAACATTTACAGCAGAATAGGATCAGTTCATTCATTGTGTTATACGGTGTATATCTCACTTAACCTTGAGACAAAAGGAACAGTGAATGGTTGTGACTCCATGTTTCCTATCATGACTGATTCCTTTATCAGCAGCATCACAATGAGGAAAGTTGAGCCAGCATGGTGCATTGGTTTGAGTGCTGGACTAGGACCTACCACCTCACCACACGGAATATTTTTTTTTGCCTCTTACCATGATGGGACTCCTCTTCAGTGACAGATCCAGATGCGCCCCTTCTGATGACACAGACCAAGGCCACACACCATATTTGGGTGAAGCGGCAAGGAAGTGTTGCTAGAAGCTTCCTCACTACCATGGTTAGTAATTCATCTATTGGGTAGCTATCCACAGTTTTTGGGTTTTTACCATGTCTGATGGGGGAAGAGACAGGGTGCCAATGTGCCTTGCCCCGATCTAATAGGGGAAAGAGGGAGGGTGCATGGCTCACCATAAGGCACCATGCACACCTTGCATTTCACCAGTGATTGCCAGAGAAACAGGACAGTATGATGAGGTCCTTTGGGAGATCAGGATGTGAATGACGACTCAACCATGGAAAACCAATGGGTGAACTTGAGCAAGTCATTCTCAACCTCAAAATAAAGGAATGACAAAACCTCTCTGAACAAATCTTGCCAAGAAAAAACCCCACAATAGCTTCATTTTAGGGCAACCATATATCAGGAACAACTTGAAAGCAAACAGCTTAATTCAGATTTATTTGCTTCCACACTCTGTTCCAAATGATGTGACTTCTCAACTACCAAGCTTCTGTCTTCTCCCACCTTCTCCTTACCTAAAGGTTCACAGTATGTCCATTGCAATCCTGTATTATAGTTTGTGGTAAGGGAACACCAGGGCTTCTTGTCAACCATTCCATCGGTTGTGCATGAGAGATAGATCTTGTGGTTGTAGATGAAAGGAAACACACAAGGGCTCTTTTGATCTGTGTCTGCTCCTGAGTAGGGAATGCGAAAATATATGGATATCAGTTGTAATTGTGTATTTAACAGTCATCCATGATTTAGAGCAACCAGCTATATGCTAGGGGGGGTCACAGTGGTGTGGCATTAAACATATGATGGAGCAACCATGATATTTGCATCTGTCATAGGCTACATGGTACATACTTGTGGCATTCCACCACCTAATGAAAGCACTAGATTCCTTTGGAATCCTGGGGTTTGTAGTTCTCTCTGGTATGGAATTTTAAATGCTCCTCCCACAAGTGGAAATATCGGGATTCCAGGGGATGTCACCATAGCAGTAAATGTGGCATTTAGCACTATAACTGTGTCCTTGGGTCACTTCTTCACTTTCTCATACTGAAAGACTCCAAGAACAAGCTGAAGCATGCCACCAGACTCTGGTAGGTTCCTTATTTTAAACAGTAAAAAAAAAACCTCACTATGGAACAATTGTGTGAGTCACCTTGGGTCTCATTCGGAAGAAAGGTGGGATATTTCTAAATTAATTAACTAGAGTAGCTTTAACTAAGGCTCAGGTTTCCTAGTTCTAGCTACAGTAAAATACAGTTAGTCAAAGAACTTTGATATCTCTGTGGCCTATCAATTCTGTTTCTGCATCCCTCTTCATGGATTCTAAGGACCATTCCATATATGCTTAAACTTTTACACACACACACACATTAAAACAATGTAGAAACATAATCCTGCTGCTTTGTCCCAACTGGGCTAAATTGCCTGAAACAATTGCTAAATAGGACTCTA